CTGTCCCCCCTTCCTTTCATACATTTTTGACTCTTCTTTTTCTCTCGAGCCAAAAATTACTGTAAGGAGTTTGTTTTGATCCTTTTTGTATACCAGGCTTTTGAGCCGAACAGCATAAAGAATATAGCGGTTTAAAAAATACAAAACCAGAGCACACAGAAAAAAACAAACTAGGAAAACACAAAATAATCAAAACTTGTCAAGATTGTTTTTGTGGCTTTGTTTTTTGATTTTGTTGTGTTTTTTCTGGTGAATCTTGTCGGGTTGTTTTTGGCGATTCTGTGTTTTGATTGTGTTTTTTGTTTTTTATGTGTTTCATTTTTTGCTAGAATCAACTTTCTCTGTTGAAGCCGGTGTCAGACTACAAGGGCAAATGAACAGAATTTTGTGTGTATCCAACCAAATCTAACCAGGACCACATCCAATCATAATTAACCCAGAAATGTATTCCAAGGAGGGGTGAGCCTGTCCCCCCCCCCATTCATACATTTTCGAACTTTCTTTTTCCTTTGATCCAAAAAAATATGTAAGGTAGTATTTGTTTGTATACAAGGACATACAAAAGGATTTGATTGGATGGTGTGTGTATCCAACCATATCCAACCATAGGTCCAACCATGTCTAAAGTCTAATCATATCGAACCCAGAAATTCAGAAAATGTATTCTAAGGAGGGGTGGGCCTGTCCCCCCTTCCTTTCATACATTTTTGACTCTTCTTTTTCTCTCGAGCCAAAAATTACTGTAACGAGTTTGTTTTGATCCTTTTTGTATACCAGGCTTTTGAGCCGAACAGCATAAAGAATATAGCGGTTTAAAAAATACAAACCAGAGCACACAGAAAAAAAACAAACTAGGAAAACACAAAATAATCAAAACTTGTCAAGATTGTTTTTGTGGCTTTTGTTTTTTGTTTTTGTTGTGTTTTTTCTGGTGAATCTTGTCGGGTTGTTTTTGGCGATTCTGTGTTTTGATTGTGTTTTTGTTTTTTATGTGTTTCATTTTTTGCTAGAATCAACTTTCTCTGTTGAAGCCGGTGTCAGACTACAAGGGCAAATGAACAGAATTTTGTGTGTATCCAACCAAATCTAACCAGGACCACATCCAATCATAATTAACCCAGAAATGTATTCCAAGGAGGGGTGAGCCTGTCCCCCCCCCATTCATACATTTTCGAACTTTCTTTTTCCTTTGATCCAAAAAATATGTAAGGTAGTATTTGTTTGTATACAAGGACATACAAAAGGATTTGATTGGATTTTGTGTGTATCCAACCATATCCAACCATAGGTCCAACCATGTCTAAAGTCTAATCATATCGAACCCAGAAATTCAGAAAATGTATTCTAAGGAGGGGTGGGCCTGTCCCCCCTTCCTTTCATACATTTTTGACTCTTCTTTTTCTCTCGAGCCAAAAATTACTGTAAGGAGTTTGTTTTGAGCGTTTTTGTATACCAGGCTTTTGAGCCGAACAGCATAAAGAATATAGCGGTTTAAAAAATACAAAACCAGAGCACACAGAAAAAAACAAACTAGGAAAATACAAAATAATCAAAACTTGTCAAGATTGTTTTTGTGGCTTTTGTTTTTTGTTTTTGTTGTGTTTTTTCTGGTGAATCTTGTCCGGTTGTTTTTGGCGATTCTGTGTGTTGATTTTGTTTTTGTTTTTTATGTGTTTCATTTTTTGCTAGAATCAACTTTCTCTGTTGAAGCCGGTGTCAGACTACAAGGGCAAATGAACAGAATTTTGTGTGTATCCAACCAAATCTAACCAGGACCACATCCAATCATAATTAACCCAGAAATGTATTCCAAGGAGGGGTGAGCCTGTCCCCCCCCCATTCATACATTTTCGAACTTTCTTTTTCCTTTGATCCAAAAAAATATGTAAGATAGTATTTGTTTGTATACAAGGACATACAAAAGGATTTCATTGGATGGTGTGTGTATCCAACCATATCCAACCATAGGTCCAACCATGTCTAAAGTCTAATCATATCGAACCCAGAAATTCAGAAAATGTATGCTAAGGAAGGGTGGGCCTGTCCCCCCTTCCTTTCATACATTTTTGACTCTTCTTTTTCTCTCGAGCCAAAAATTACTGTAAGGAGTTTGTTTTGATCCTTTTTGTATACCAGGCTTTTGAGCCGAACAGCATAAAGAGTACAGCGGCTTAAAAATTACAAAACCAGAGCACACAGAAAAAAAACTAGGAAAACACAAAATAATCAAAACTTGTCAAGATTGTTTTTGCGGCTTTTGTTTTTTTGTTTTTGTTGTGTTTTTTCTGGTGAATCTCGTCGGGTTGTTTTTGCCGATTCTGTGTTTTGATTGCGTTTTTGTTTTTTTATGTGTTTCATTTTTTTGCTAGAATAAACTTTCTCTGTTGAAGCCGGTGTCAGACTACAAGGGCAAATGAATGCAAATGAACAGAATTTTGTGTGTACCCAACCAAATCTAACCAGTACCACATCCAATCATAATTAACCCAGAAATGTATTCTAAGGACGGGTGAGCCTGTCACCCTCCTTATTCATACAGTTTTGAGCCTTTTTCTGATTACAGATAAGTGGCATTTCGGGTATGCCAGGACATAAATAGAGCATATTGGGTTTTGTGCGTACCTCAGCCAAACACGTATAGAATGTATTCCAATGATGGGTGAGCCTGTCAAACCAATCATTCATACATCCAATGTACTCTGATGGAAGTTGATGGAAGTTGTATGACGTTGCATGTTATTTGAAAAGTCGTTCCCATGATTTCTGCTTGAAGAAAATCAACGGTGTCCCCCCTAGGTTTCATACATTTTAAGGTATCAGTCTATGCCACCAAAACAACACCCTCCCCCCCTACTTTCATACATTATAGAAAAATGAATGGCAGATGGCTGGGGCATCTCCCCCTAGGTTTCATACATTATTGAATTAATGTATGAAGCCCATGGGGGAACAGGGTTCCCCCATGGGCTTCATACTTTTCACATGCAATATGTGAATTGATGTTAAAAAATCGACGGTGTCCCCCCCTAGGTTCATACATTGCAAAAAATGTATGAAGGGGGGGTGGTGTACAAAACCCGATGGATCTATTCAAAGATCCAATCTTGTCTAGTGTAATATCCATGGTGGCTCCGGCATGGTGCCATGGAGCCAATTGAGGCAACCCTTTTTAGGGTGACTGTCGACTGACCGGATTTCGGATTTCTGAATTGACATTTTTCAATTGGCAATTCGTTTAAGTAAAGTGAAACAGCTGGCCTTTCCGTTCTGCACCTTTGTTGTGAAGTCCTGCTGCTCCTGCCGTCCCTGTGAATCTTACGGAATACATTTCTGCCAGTGTGACGCCAGTCTGAACTGCCAGAAACTCCTTTTTTTGCCACTGCAGCTCGAGTTTTGGAAGTTCAACGTGACATGTGCGACAACAGGCAACAGGCATGTCCTTTTCCTGCAGGTGTGGTCTCTTTGGTTTTTGGTGAGGTTGAACATATTGTGCACCTAATTCGTTGGAACTCGTATAGCTGTTTATGCCATTGCGGCACGACTTGACCACGGTCCCGAAGGGGAGTAACGCACGACCTCTAGGATAGGTGGAACTGAGTCCTTGTTTAGGTTAATTGTTTTGGTTTTCCACACTCGTCACCAACTAGTCCCCCATTTGGTCCCTAATTCCTTTTTCCCCCCGTGCCTCTCCGTAATGTGTTGTAAGGTTTACGTGTGTGCTCTGTTTTTGTCAGGTCCGTTTCGCCGCGTAGGTTGGTTCTGGAGGTCCGTTCGTTCCCTTCCCTCCCCCCTGCGCTGTTTTGGCCTTTTGCCCGTCGTCTGTGTCCGCTTTTTTCTTCCTCTTGCCTTTCAGGGTTGACCCGGCTCTGGCCGGGTGTGTGTGTGTGTGTAACATCTAAATAGATGTAAAACTTCTTCCTTTTTCTTTCTTCTTTCCTCTCCCCTTCTAATAGTGCAGGGGGCAGAGGGATCTCCAGATGTGGCCTCTGCCAACGAAGCTCCACACTGGATGATCAGGAAAACGTACCTGCAGTGAGGTCGACCTGGGCATTGAGATATGCAGCTGGTGACCTATACAAGTGATGTTGAATCGCTGTACCGTGTTTCTCGATTCAGGTCACGAAGGTCATTCGGGAGAACTTCCATTATTCGATGGGTACTACGTAAGTTAATTTGTTTCTTGTCTAATTTGCACGTTTACAGGACTCAGTTCCTGATGGATCTATTCAAAGATCCAATCTTGTCTAGTGTGTGTGTAAAAGCGTCTGCGTGTAAAAGCGTCTGTGTGTAAAAGTCTCTGTGTGTGAAAGCGTCTGTGTGTAAAAGTCTCTGTGTGTAAAAACTTCTGTGTGTAAAAGCATCAGTGTGTAAAAGTCTCTGTGTGTGAAAGTGGTTGTGTGTGAAAAACTATAAATAGGATACGATGCAAACTATTGTTATGTACTTGTAAAATATTGTCTTGATACTACTCTTTTGTCTGCCATAATAGATCCTTAACATATTGTCTTGCAATATAGTGTCTCAATACTAACAACAGAAGACGCAGAAGACCCTGCTCTTCTACGCTCTCGGGCCATCCGTCGCCTAGGGTTTGATCCTTTTCAGGCCAAGGCAACCCTGAATCGTGTCTTGTTCGTATCCTGCAACCAATCCCCAGGTACAAGAGCCATCCGCAGCACCCCCAAACAGACAGACTTTGCAAATCTGGATAGCCTCATTCACAGATCTTATGCCAACCCATGTTTGCCGCGACTTGTATGTCATCAATTGATGGATGGGTGGATGGTTATTTTTACTCCTAAACTCATAGGTGTTCTTTACAGGGACACGACGACAAACAATTTTTCGTGTATAGTGTTCTTTTGAAAATTAAGTCTCAAACTTCTTTGAAACGCGAGAATCTTTCGAAGGAAGGTTTGAAAACAATCTTTTCACCAAACAAGAGTATCAAGACTTTGAGAAACGAACCGATTCGCGAATCGTTGCCTTCCCGAGCTTAAATGCCTATATGCTGCGCTGGACACTTGTAGACCCGAATATATCTTGTTTGCCAATAGGTTTGAAATGAAGAAATGAATCTTACAGCACCCCTGTCAAGACAGGCACGACCACACTTAAAGGTTGAGACCACAAGGGGCACAGAGGAAATTCTGGGTATGGTATCTTGGTGTCCAAGTGCTGTAGACCTTGATTCTTTGGAGCATAGGCCAGTGATTCCCTCCTGCTTTGCCATGACATTCAAGACATTCAAGACATTCAAGACCCTGAAAACCTGTTGCTACTGTGTACTTCGATAAGGGGCAAACCCCAACTTTGAGCAAATTCATTTAGGAATGGTTATATGGGGTCCCTGAACAGCCGTCAGCCGAGGTGATCCAAGATGCAATTCGTGTGCACCCTCCGCAGCAGTTGAGGTCATCCCAACGGACGAGAGTGAGCGGAAACGGTTCCCCGATGGGAAACTCTCGTGTGGGACCAGCCAGAACTGCATAACTCAGGCCAATCTCAATTTTTGGAAGTTCAGAGATGCAAATGATGTCCAGATTTGCACGGGCAACCAAGTTTGCAATAACAACTGGAAAGTCAAGAACGTGGGAGCAGCCTGCTGCTCTGGGGATAGTGTTTGCTACACTGACCTAGTCTTCGAAATGGGGCAAGACGTTCCTACCGGCGAGCCAGTGGCTACTTGCACTAATGATGTCTGCTGCGATGGAAAACAGACTTGTGTGGGCTCTTCCGGTTCACCGCCGACGAGCCAGTTCCTAGGCACCAGAACATTGAGTTGCCGCGGCGAAGGAACGTGTAGGCAGATTCTAGCCAACATGTCAAAAGACCTCTACTGCAGCCAATATTCAGGAGTTGGCGAGACTGGCCCAGACACATGCAGCTCGAGTTCCAACGAATTCTACTTCGACAACCCCACTGCTGGCTCTGAGCATTGTGTGACATGCTTCGGAAACAACGGCCAGGGTGTGATATGTGCGGATTCAACATTCACTTTCGACACAGTGAATGCCCAGGCCAAGATGATTTTCAGTGCAAAAAATGCTGGCAAGCAAGCAACAGTTACCATCACCAGTGGATGCCTGGAGATCAATTGCGCCACAGGCACGGATACCTGCGTAGACCTAGTAGTGACTAAGAATAGTGCCACATGCCACTGCACTGGAAAGCAAGGCAAGTGCAACCAAATTTCTGGCAACAAGGCGGGAGGTACTGGTGATACTTGCCCATACATCGACGATGACAATCCTTGTTCATTTGCGGCGACCATGTGTCAGACTCCGTCATCTTGCTGTGATGGCTTGAGTGCTAACGCCAGCTCCGGCAGCTCCAACAGTCCACCAGATTGTGTTGGACAATGCGGCTGCACAGCTCCCACGACATCCACCACCACCACCACCACCACCACCACCACCACCACGACAACCACCACCACCACGACCACCACCACCACCACCTCTGAGTCGGGACAAGACCCATCTTCCGGCACAACCACCTCCACCACCACCACCACCTCCACAGCACAAGGTGCAGGAGACCCTCACATCGACACCTTCGATGGCCAGCACTACTTGCTGCTGAAGCAGGGCAGCTTCTCCTTTTGGCGCTTCTCCGGCTCCTTGTCTTGGTGCCAAGGGACCAAAGTTTCACAGCGTAGGAATGATCCGCTTGTGGAATTGAAGTGCGATGAATTGTGTAATCAAGATTAATCAAGTATATAAAATAAATTAAAATAATAATCATGTACTCGTACGGGTTAAAGTCTGTCGAAGCACCACATCCATCCAATCTGAGGTTCCGATGCAGAAATCTTCTCAGCTTCCTGGCTCCAATTGCTGCACCAAATTTTTGGAGCCCTTAGAGATGCCTCGATGTTCGTCAAACGAAGCAGTTTTGGAATCGATACCGTGTTTGGATGGACCTTGAATGGGCAACAGCCATGAAGAAGGTACTGTATTTCCATCCGCAAGCACGTTTTTCAATTTTAAAGAAGTGGTTTGTGATGGCACAGGATGAGGGCTATTATACCCGCAAGCGTTGGCAGATGTCAACAATGATTATGGGGATACTGACAGGACAACAGGGGACCTGATGGTATTGGTTCTTTTTGATTCTTTTTGCGGCTCCAGAAGCGGGTCTGGTTCCAATTCCCTCGAAGTTGCGATCTGGGCGTTGTCCACTCTGCGAGGCCAAGAATCAGGCCTTGCTGAAGAAACTCCCGGTGGATTTCAAAATCTATGCGCACTATTCAGGCTTGGCATCAGATTTTAGATGATTTGCGGGGGATTGCATTCTCAGTATCTCGAATAAATATATGGATTTGCGGACGGATTTGGATGCTCAGGATTGAACATGGCCAAAGTTTTTGGGCACGCAACATGTAGAGGCATGATACGCATGATAGTTCTTTTTCACATATTCTTTTGATGGGTCAATATAGGGGGTTTGACCAACTGGTTTATATTGTTGAGAATTGTATGAACCACCCAGTATAATAGGATGGGGTGGGGGTATAGGCTATCGGTATAGGGGAATTTTTGTGGCTCGGGGCAGGTCACACCTCCTACACCAAAGGCCTTTTGCTGGTGGTAGCTGATCTGCAACTAATTTACACTGGTCCATCGAGCTGGGAGATATCGGGAATTTGATTTCAGAGATGCAAACTACAACAGACAAGCACAAAAGATCATACTGCTTGCAGACATCCAGACTGCACAATTTCAACCATTATAACTTATAACATCTTATAACCATTATAACTATAACTCATTCTATTCAGATGTGTTTTGCCCATGACCATCACCAGCGTGTTGGCCTTAGGACAGCTCTGGTGCCACAACCCCGAAGCGTGTCTTGGAGCTCACCTCGGAAGATTGCACCTGGAGAACCAAGACCAAGGACACTGAGTGGAGTGCTGTGGAGAAACCCCAGTTGCTGTCCCTTGGATGCAGAGGACGGGAATTTTGGTGACGTGCTGTGAAAACTCTACAGAAACACAACAGTTTGAGGATTTAAGACATGACTTTGATTTCTGTTGTCTCTTACTAGATTGCCTCGTTAAAGTTAAAGAGATCCTGGACACCGCTGAAACCAACCCATCCATGGAGATTGCGGCTACAACAGACTTGTACGTGTGGATCGTGGCCCATGAGACACAGACAACCCAGAAGATGTTCCTCTTGTTTTCTTCTTGTCATTTCCTTGTTTTTGTTTCGCTGCTAAGCAGGTCGTTGCCAGACGCTGACGGAGATGAGATGACAGCTTTCAGGATGACGGAACCTTTACATGGACAGAAGATGTACGTGGAGTTGCTGGGCTGAGCCGAGTCCCAGGCTCTTGATCTGCCTTGGGTTGGTTTGCAGTTCATCACTTTCGAAAGGATTCACAACCCAGTTCGTGGGTCTCAACAGCCTACTTCCAAGTATTGGCTGGCTAGGGCAGAAGCGGTTCATGGCTCCACCAAGGCTGTTGATGAAGAAAACCGACGGCGCCTTCAAAAAGATTGGCAATCTTTATGTGCGCTGCAAGCCAGGCAGGGAACTGGAGGGGACTATTGAAGAGCCTGATCCATCAACGTGCTTGGAATACATCTGAACAGGACGTTGCCTTTTTTTGCAAAATTAGTGAACACACATGTGGGGATAATTCGCATCCAGAGACAGACACGCCGTTTTGTTCGGCCATGTCGAGCGGTCTCACTGGGATCGGTGGTAGAGGCCACGCTGCTTCAGGATACCACATCAACACGAAGATCGCCATGACTTCCAAGGAGGACATCGGCTTGGTGCAGGGCCAGGTTGGAGCCCAGGGCCATACTGCTGCAGGTGCCACCGGCGCGAGGAAGTTCGGGGGCGGCTGTCGGAGGCTGTTGTAGTTCCATGTAGCTTCCTGATTGCCTGGTGATGTCAGGCTTACATTCAAGGCGTATGCATGCATATGCGGCATATGCTTTAGCCCTAAAATACCCTGAAACAGCCTGAACAAACAGAGCGGAGGTTAAGACCAGATCGGCTCTCGAGCGCATTTGTTGGCAACATCCTTCAACATACGCCTTCCAGGGGAATTTTATGGCGATGTGAACCATTTCTAGGTGAAAAATCCTGAATCTTTGTGCAGGTGAGGATCACAAGGCCAGTTTCTTGCAGGGAACACGCAGGGTGAGGTCGGACTCAGAGCTTCTCGGCTCTAAGGGGCCAGCGTCCTGTTCTCCTAAACTCTAAATTGGCCTATCATCGCCTATCAACAGAATCGGGCCATGCCTCCATATGCCTCCATTCTATTGGTGCAAGTTATGAACACAATATGCGTTGCATTTTTTGTGGATGATTCAGATGATGATCAACCCATGGCCCATGACCGAATCACCAAGGTTTGTAACTTCCGAGAAGTGGACAGACTTGGGTGGAAGTGCAGCAGCAGAAACCTATTTGAGCGAAGTGGATGAAGAAGGACATATTGGAGTGGAGTGCTAAACTGTTTGGGTGAAAGTTTCGTGACTGCAGCATCTCTGGGAGGATGCCCAAGGGTGTGATGAACAGTTTGAGAACTTTAACCAAGGTTCTGGAATTTATACAAGAGAATTGATGAGAACTATGTAATAAGACAAGTCCTAGTCAGGGGTCAAATGACGATAGCACATATATCCCACGTAGGACATGGTTGATTACTTGTGTACGGCCCAGCATCTAGATGAAGCCTTCTCCTTTCCAACTATGCCTTGATTCAAAATGAAGCTCTTCCCTTCAATCGTGTCAAGGTCTGCTGACCCTGGGGCGACGCTGTGGATAATTCAACGTGTGATGCTGAACAGGTCAGACTTTTCCATCCCTCGCCTGGAAAAGTTAGACATTTCCAGCGGCCTTGCCAGGACCAGCCATCTTCCTGAAGGATTGCACAGGACAAGAGCGGATCGAGGCAAAGGCAATGTGCAAGAAATATTTGGGTGCCTCGTCGTGCATGAATTTGCTCCTCACTGACGCATGCTCTGGTCGAATCTGTCGAAATTTCAGATTCAAATTATGGAATAATACGGGGGTCCAGTCATTTCAAGGCTGCTTGCTAGTTCCATCCAACATCAGGTGTTCAGAGAATTGTTTGAAGGTGTCCGGGACAGCAGATCCTGATTCATGATGTAGCGTTTATAAATTTAGTTTATCGAACTAATGAGGAGAGCATCAGGCTTGGGATACTCCAAATTTTCTAAGTTCATGGCTTAGGCGAACCTTCAACACGCAGCGAAGACCTCCACAGCTTTGAAAATCGCTTCGACAACTGCGTCTTCGATGTCTGCAACGGAGCCTTGATCGAAATGCTGGAGCCGAATTGATGCTGTTCACTGGATCTCTAGAAGAAAAAAGGAGAAGCAGTTTCATGAATCGAGAATTCTGTTTGTGTGGTCGCTATATGTCGCTCTTTTTGGCGTGAGAGCTTGCAGTTGTGCAGCAATACCTTGGCATGGTTTCGGCCACAGTCCTGAGCCCAGGTGGAGGAGAGGTTGCAGCAGAACTGGCAGCAGAGATCTTCCATGCCGAATAAAAGTTAGATGAATATTATGTTTATTCTGATTTTGAAATGACCTCTTAAATTGGAACCGCAGGTTCCAACTCTCCACTTTGTGGGAAGGTTTTGAAGGAACCATTGGCAATGGCATCGGAGATGGTCGTCCATTCATAATATGATTTAGATTCAAAGGCGAATCGGCCTTGGCCTTGCAACCGACCAGCAAATGGTCTGCAAAAAGTCTGCACCGTAATCCGCCAGGCACAGTCCCTGTAAGCACATGAGATCACGCGAGTATCTCTGAAATCTCTGAAAAGTACTGTATTTGTGCCTCCAAAAACCAACGGTCTAGCAACTTGCAGCAACAGTATCAAAAAGAAACCAATTGCATGCCCATGTGTTCATATTGGTGTACCCCAGTTCCGGCTGCAAAACCCACATGTCGATGCGTGCGATGGGGAGAAGCATCAAAAAAAATATAAATGCATCAAAAAAATAAATGAATCAAAAAAATAATTGCATCAAAAAAGATATATGACCATACAGGAGGAAAGGAAGGAAGGAGGGAAGTTTGGAAGGAGGGAAGGAGAAATGGAGGGAAGGACGAAAGGAAGGAGGGACGAAAGGAAGGAAGGAAGAAAGGAGGAAAGGAGGGAAGGAGGAAAGGAGGAAAGGAAGGAGGGGAGGAAAGAGGCATGGGGTTCAAAAACAAAATATTTAAGTGATCAAACAAGAATAGTCATCTTCCCTGCGCTGGTGCAGTGTTTTGGCCCTTTTATGCAATTTTCAAATCTTGGTCCCCTGGTCCCTTGGTCCTTTGGTCCCTTGGTCCTTTGGTCCCTTGGTCCTCTGCTCCCTTGGTCCTCCGGTCCCTTGGTCCTCTGGTCTTCTGGTTCCTTGCTCCTTCCGTCCTTTGGTGGCTCTAGTGCCTTAAAACATTTTGAAGATAACCCTTTATTCAACCAGCCGTAAAAAATCTCTAAATCAGCCTCAACAACCTCTAAACTACTCCCCCAAGCCAAAGTAAGTCTTAAACGAATCCTAAACCAACCTTCAATCAGCCCTAAACAACCCTAAATAAACCCTAAACAAATCTGACATAAACCCTTAACGAAACCTAAACGAACCTTAAATAAGTTGTAAGCGAAACCAAAAGCAACTTTAAACCAATCGCAAACAATCCCTAAACCAACCCCATATAAACCCTAAAAAACCATAAACCAACCGTAAATAAACCCTAAAGAACACTCATTAAACAAACAACGAACCAACCCTAAATAAATCCTAAGCAAACCCAAACAAACCACACACCAACCCTACATAAATCCTACACCAACCCTGAACCAACCAGAAATAAGTCACTAAACCAACCACGAACCAATCCCAAATACCCCCTGAATCAACCCGAAACAAATTTTGATCAGCACCTATACAAATCTTAATACTAACCCTTAAACAAACCCTAAAACCAAACCTAAATAGAACCTAAACAAACCTTGAACCAACCCTAAATAAACAAACAACCAACCTTCAATAGATCCCAAACGAAACCTAAACCACAAAGTCTTGAACAAAATCAAAATAAACCCTAAACCAACCCTACATAAACAAGGGATTCCAGGGGAATATTTTTTTTGATGCCTTAAGTATTTATTTTTTGATCCCCACGGGATTTTTTTTTGATGCCGTATTTTTTTTGTTTTTTTTTGATCCCTCACCCAGGAAAGAAGGAGGGAAGGAAGCAAGGAAGGAGGGAAGGAGGAAAGGAGGGAAGCAGGCAAGGAGGGCACGAAGGGAAGGAAGGAAGGAAGGAGTGAGGAAGGGAGGGAGGGAGGGAAGGAAGGAAGGAAGCAAGGAAGGAGGGAAGGAGGAAAGGAGGGAAGGAGGCAAGGAGGGCACGAAGGGAAGGAAGGAAGGAAGGAAGGAAGGAAGGAAGGAAGGAAGGAAGGAAGGAAGGAAGGAAGGAAGGAGGAAGGGAGGGAAGGAAGGAAGGAAGCAAGGAAGGAGGGAAGGAGGAAAGGAGGGAAGGAGACAAGGAGGGCACGAAGGGAAGGAAGGAAGGAAGGAAGGAGGGAGGAAGGGAGGGAGGGAGGGAAGGAAGGAAGGAAGGAATGAAGGACCATGTTTGCAGTCAACACTTGCAGCTTGCGGCTGCAGCGGTTTCACCGTCAAATGCGTTATCATGACCGTGCTTTATCATGCATCGAGAGCCTAGGCCTAAATTGCGCCAATATTGAAGAATCTGCGAAACAGCAAAACATGGATGTTGCCTTCCAGCCATATCTTGCCACTAAGCGAAATTTTGGAATCAGCTTCAAAGCTTAGACCCGAAATGTTAACATATTTGCTTGCTTTCCATGATTTTCACAGCAGGGGCAGGCTGATTTAATACTTTATCATATGGATTGCGCACCCTGCACCCCCCCACCCGCTTGTATTTTTTAACCGGCTCCCCTTGCTACCTACTACAGTATTCTTTTGTTTTTCAAAAGCATCATCGTTTATTTGGGTTAATTTATCTTTATTGATATCCATCGCGACCTGTGCCTATGCACTTCTTTCTTGGTATGCATTGCGGGGGGGAGGCGCTGTGCCCTCCCCCCTGCACCCCCCAACCCGCTTTTATTTTTTAACCGGCTCCCCTTGCTACCTACTAGTCTTTTGTTTTTTCATGAGCATCATCGTTTATTTGGGTTCATTTTATCTTTATTGATATCCATCGCCGCTTGTGCCTGTGTGCTTCTTTCTTCGTACGCATTGCGGGGGGAGGCGCTGCGCCCTCCCCCCTGCACCCCCCAACCCGCTTTTATTTTTTAACCGGCTCCCCTTGCTACCTACTATCCTCTTGTTTTTTCATGAGCATCATCGTTTATTTGGGTTCATTTTATCTTTATTGATATCCATCGCCGCTTGTGCCTGTGTGCTTCTTTCTTGGTACGCATTGCGGGGTGAGGCGCTGCGCCCTCCCCCCTGCAGCCCCACACCCGTTTTTATTTTTTGATCGGCTCCCCTTGCTACCTACTATCCTCTTGTTTTTTCATGAGCATCATCGTTTATTTGGGTTCATTTTATCTTTATTGATATCCATCGCCGCTTGTGCCTATGTGCTTCTTTCTTGGTACGCATTGCGGGGGGAGGCGCTGCGCCCTTGTTTTTGTTTCGACCTAATACCTACGAGGTACTATGCATGAGTATTGAGCACATTTATATGCGCCCTTCAAGGCTCAAGAGGTATATAGAGTAACCCTGTAGACAAGCACGGACCGGCAACAGGCTGAGTAAAACAAGTGCTGTCATTGGGGAAGACGCCTTAGCTGATCTTGAAGTAGACGCTAGGGCCCCTCTTCAAGTGGTAGCGGAGCAGTGATCCCTCATTGAGGGTGAGCTCCAGGTAGAGCCCAAGCAATGGCAAGCAATGGAACCAATATGACTCTTATGCAATGAGAAGAGCACCCCAGCAGACACAGATTCACATGACGCAACAAATGACCACAAAGGTAGCTCCAGCATATGATGGGAGAACTAGCTTCTTTGCTTTTGAAGATGCAATTGATGACTGGTGTGACATCACGGAGTTAGAACCAGAGAAACGTGGTCCAGCTTTGCGCAATCGACTGGAAGGAGATGCTCAACAATACAAGAGACTATTGGATAGAGAGATGCTCAGGGATCCCCAGGAAGGAGCGAACTATTTCAAAAGATTTCTACGACCTCATTTCATCAAAGGTGCCCAGAACGTGTTTTTATACCGTTTCATGCAGTTCATGAAGTTCAACAGAGGAACCATGGATCTTCAGAAGTGGATGACTAGATTTCAACTCACTGGCAATAGACTTATTGAGTCTTGGATGGATTTACTTCCAGAAACTACAGTGACTAGTCCTGAAGCAATCCTGTTTGTGACACAAAAACGACAAGAACATGATCGAGATCAACAAGAAAGAGCTGATGTAGCAGCAGCCTCAGGAGCAGCCCCTCATGTACCTGTTCCTTGGTCAGATGAACTGGCACTAGTGGCATTCAGACAGTACAATGAGCAGCGTAGACAAGTACAAAGACAAGCATTCCCACTGGGTGAAAATTTGCTAGCATTGATTTTTGTAAGTCTAGCTGACCTGAGTCAAGATCAGAGAAATACACTCACAAGTATCATGACACATCGTGGACGAACCCTCGATCAATACAACATTCAAGAACTACGTGACCTGTTTTTGGAAATGTTTTGCACTACCAAAACAGCAGTTGACAATCCATTGATGCAACCCTCTGGCATGGCACAGAGAAGATCTTTCCTCGTACTGGATGAAGGTGAATTAGAAGGAACCGACGGCTATTGGGCCGAAGATGAAGAAGACGGCGCAGAAGGATTCCTGGATGCTTTAGAAGATGTTTTCTGGGTTTATGATGACGCCAACTTCACATGGTATCAGAGAAGGTTCCAAGGCAAATACATCAGACGAGGCAAAGGTAAAGGAAAGAGAAAAGGAAAAGGTAAAGGCAGAGGAGGACGAAGGTTCTTCAGATCAAGAAAAGGAAAAGGCCGAGGAAAAGGAAGAAGGAAAGGCCGCTCTCACATGGTGAGTGAAGAAGGTTATGAAGAAGATTGGCAAGAGGATGAATGGAATGAAAACTATGACGGCTATTGGGCCGATGATCAAACCTGGAATGAAGGCTATTGGGTCTATGATGATTCATACTATATGGATGAGTATGGATACTTCCAGAGGAAAGGAAAAGGAAAAGGAAAAGGAAAGAAAGGCAAGAAAGGCAAGGATGATGATGGTAAAGGAGGAAAGCCAGGAGATGGAAAAGGCAAGTCGAACTATGTTCAACCTCAGACCACATCAGTTCCTGCCATACAGAATCAACAAACCCAACAAGCTCATTATTCTTCTGCTGCATCAAGTTCTGGTCATGGTTTCTTTGCTTTTGGAAGAACTGACCCATTACGTGTTGATGTTGCAGAGACAGAGCCAGCACGTGTTGATGTTTTGACATCCACGTATGAACAACAAGAAGTACAACGACGCACTCGTCGTGGAGGACAGAACCAACGTGATGCAACAGCACATCAAAACAGGAAGGAAATGAAAAGATTCCCTGTTCTGGTTGGAGAAGTTGATGCACTTTGACAAGGTGTACAACGACGTCCAGCTCGTGTGCCCAGGCAAGTTGGTCTTCAAGAAGGTGAGGCTTCATGGAAGCCATTGGCAAAAGGCATTGTTTTCATATGGATGCTCTACAGAGATAGAGGAACC